TGAATATTGATCTTGGTTCCTGTGTTTCTTATGACCATTTTTGCTTGGTTTTTATAATCGTTCAACTTTCTTGGCTTGATGGTTGGTTCTGTGTCTTTGAGTTTAGCCTTGGGGAATTCCAGTTCGATGTCATCAAGCCCTCCCATGGCTGGAGATAAGCTTCTCTTCTCCAATGTTACGCGGCTTGGTTATGCTGCTGGTTACGGTTCTCCAGGCTTGAGAATCGAGGAAGCTAGGGCAGCCCAGGCTAATAATCACATGAAAGAACCGGCTCATGAGGGAGGTTCTGGCACAGGAAGTGGTACGTCTACTCTGGAAGCTAAATAGCTCACGTCGTTTCTTTATCAACTTCTTTGATGACAACTTGGTGGTGTTATTATTATATTATGTATACCAAACTCAAGTGACACAAGTTTGTTATATATCAAAGTTCGACAACTGATTTCTTAGTGGCACCTTAAAATTGTGTGACCTTATATGGGGTCACAACTCACAACAACAGAGGGGGAATAGTGATTGAATATCGGAATCCTGTGTTGTGTTATTAGGCACAAGAAGCCAGGGGACGCCATCTTTTGCCAATGTAATATCGAGGGAAAGGACTGGAGAGGCCCCCAAGGGCAACGAGGGTGCAGGTAAGAAAGGGAAGAAGGCGAACCGGGTCCTGCTGTCGACGGCAGGTGGACGACGCTACTGAGCTTTCTTGTTTTGGCTTTCTTGCTGTTAATAAAGGAGTAACTCAGGGCCCTTTGATTGCTGTCGAGCATGTCTTAGCAGTCTGTTTGTCATGTATAATTCAGTATGACTTAAGATAATTGTACAGAAGGATGGATGGGAAATGATGCCTTTCCTTTTTGGGTTAACTAAGAAAATGTATTAACTAAACTTACTATATGATGCACGTAGGAGACTAGTTTCCTCTTCTGCGACCTTGTTTAAGTTGCAATCTTTCATGTTTATCAAACCAAAACTCCAGCAAATGAACAGAATTTGGGGTTGACTACATAGTGGGATAGCTTAGCTACTAGGCATTTGCAATTTGATGGGCTAGTTCTCTCTTGTGTTAGCTTTTAGATCTGAGGTTAACCATCTCGTTTTGCTTCATCACCAACGAGACGCTGGAGAAGATGAGCTCCATTGGAGCCATCTCCCTCCTCTACTTCTTCTTGACCCAAGTCTTTAACTTGCCAGACAACCAGGCCCTCACCATCAACTTCCTCTTCGGCGGCACATCACCAACCTTGTCCCCGTCGTGGGAGCCATCTTGTCCGATTCCTTCTTCGGCCGCTTCAACACCCTCGGCTTCTCCTCCCCATGCTCTTTGGTGGTAATTGTACATATACTCACAAATCTACACTTCTATCACACCCTGGCCTTGCCGGTTTGTCCCAAGTTTAGAGCTTGAAAGTTGGAACGCGCATATGTATGATATACATTAGCATCAACTTATATATTGACTGCTGACGCGAAGCATGGAAGAAGAAAGCCAAAGCATGACACTTGGGACAAAGGGGATTGTACCTTTCCTACCCTAAACGAACTTCTTCATTGGCACTGATAGCTAGCTAGAGATTATGAAGACAGACAAATTAAATGGTGTACTACGTACTGTAATACTCTGTCTACCATCATTTCCTTGGGAAGGGAAAGATAAAAGAAACTTGTACAGTTGTCTTTCCACACACCATTATATACGTACCATGACAGCAGTTATTGCATCTTGGTTGGAAACGGTAACTTATAAGACTTGTAAAAAAGTTTTACCGCCTAGAGTTTGAACATGGTGAGCATGTATAATGTTTACTACCTAGAGTTGGATGTCAGTATTTAGAATTAAGAAGAAAATATACCTAGCTAGTTCTTTCACGGTTGAAGCTAATGTAACATAGATCACGTATACTAGTTGTATATATTAAGTTGATTGATCTTCTCATGTATATATATAGTAGTCATATATTTTAGTTGCTAACTTCATCTTCATAGTAACTTAATCGGATGGGTATTGTCCTGCGAGCATCTTTCAACCGGTTAGTCTGTCGACGAAAGATGCAGGTCATGTAAACCATATCCGAACAAACCCTAGTTAATTAAGTCATGTCAAATTTGAACATCAATCGAGTTGATATATCAGTTGTGGTACAATATTAAGTTAACTACATATATATAATTAATTGGTGCATGCGTTGTGTTTATAACATCATGCATATCATCATCTAAAATAAAGATACATCCAATGCAACTACATACTTTGGTCATAACCTTGATTGAATATAGGACTCATTTACATACCCGACAACTAAATTAATAAGAGATTGTGTTACTAATAAGCCTCTTTTTATCAATTGAATGTTTTAGATAACACGATCATATACCAATTTGTACTACTACCACTTAATTAGTTCCACATTGAATTTCTAGGTGCAAGAATAGTATTGCCATCGTGATGCATCATTATATTTATAACTTAGGTCTTTATTTTGACAGTATTCCACTGTCAATAATATTGAACGTCATCATCAATATTGCATGCATATGCATGATATGTATATATGTTTTCATCGGTAGATATTATACGTACGTAGGATCGATCGAGTTCCCCAATTATTTAGCCATAAAGCTTATACCTAGCTATGTGGCTAGGTAGTAACTTAACACTCAACAGAGTCGTAACAGCAAACGAAAGCTAGTTGATCAGACACTGGTTTGACTCACTTCAAATGTTGTCAAATGAACGTTGAACCACCATTCTGTCATTACTTCTCTGCCATGATATGAATGCATGAGAATGGAAACCATACATTCACGTACGTATTCACCAATCTGGGTATAGTTTGAACTGCAACTTGGATAAGAGTGGAATGAAAAGCAGGCCTGGTAGCTTTCTCTTTGTTATTAGCTTCCCTAGGCACGCACAATCCTTTAATTGATGTATTGCACTTTGATTGTTTGTTTCCATCACTTAGGTTGTGTTGCTTACTTTGTAGTCATGGCGTATGTATACCTATTTGGTGCAAACAACAGTCCATTGTGTATGCATGGGGAAGCATTGCAAATTAAAGGGCAGATATGGGCAAAGGGAGAAAGAACGGAGAAGCTAATTAAGGATATCCATCGTTCCCCAGGCTGGCTGCTGATGGGCACAGCGCACTGAGGGCAGGAGAAATGAAAAAAGAAGTCTCTCTCTCTCTCTCATTCACTTCCTCTCACTTTATGGTATGTGCATGAAAGATAAATAGGTAGCCCAGCAGAGCAGACTCCAATTCTATTCTACTTACCCTAGCTACCTAGCTTAGCTTAGCTTCTTCTCTCCAACCCAAAAACGTAACCAGCTGAGCTAGTACGTACGGTACGGTACCACTCGATCTCCTTCCACAGCTGAGCTGAGCTAGCCAGGCCACCATGGGTTGTCGAATGTCAAGCTTCCTCCAAGACCAGTTCCAGCTTCCCACACTTCTTCCAACCCCAACTTTCACCTGCTTCCCATCCCGCCACCGCCGCCGCCTCCACCTCCCTTCCTTGAAGCTTTCCAAGACCACCAAAGCCGTGGCCCTCATCATCACCAACGAAACCCTAGAGAAGATGTGCTCCATCGGCGCCGTCTCCCTCCTCCAACCATTCCTGACCGAAGCCTTCAATTTCACGCCGGACCAAGCTCGGACCACCATGTTTCTCTATGGGGGCATCACCAACCTGGTGCCAGTGCTGGGAGCCGTCGTGTCCGACTCTTACCTCGGACGCTTCACAACCCTTTCCATCTCCACACCCTGCTCCCTCCTCGTAAGTCACTCAAGTGCTACCTCCCATCCCATCCCATCCACACTATGATTATTGACTCGACCTATGCTTGCCTACTTACCTAGTTTCCTAATAATTAATCAAATATCATTTTTCTTTTCTAGGCGGCGGTACTTCTAATGTTGACCGCATTCCCTGGGATGCACCCACCACAAGAACGCAAGGCGGAAGCATGGCAGATGGCTCTTCTCTACGGCAGCTTCTTCTTCTTCACGGTGGCGGCTGCAGGGATCCGGTCGTGCAACCTGCCGTTCGGGATCGACCAATACGATCTCACGACGGAGGCAGGACAGCGAGGGAAGGAGAGGTTCGTTAGTTGGAATTACGCTTCTTTTACTCTCTCCATCACCGCGTCGGTCATAGTCATACCCATCGTCCAGGAGATCACAAAAAGCTGGGTGGTGGGGTTCCTCATCCCGACTTGCTTTATGCTGCTCTCCTGCGTCCTCTTCTTCGCCGGATCGCCGCTCTACGTCAAGTCCAAGCCGGAGGGGAGCCCCGAAGTCTCGGTGCTGCGGGTCTTCATCGCCAGCTTCAGGAACCGGAAGCTGCCGCTTCCTTCCGACCCCAATCACCTCTTCAGCTGCCCTTCTCATGGCCATGGCCAGCCCGCCGCCACCGTTTGCACGACCAACCACCTCAGGTAATGCTCGCTCTTTTTTTTTTTTTTTTAATAATGGCAATGCTCGCTCGGTGCTCTCTTTTGTGCATGAACAACTAATAAATTAAATAAACATTAATTAATAAATTAAGCATGGAAATGAAAAGAAGTAGAAAAAGTCCCAATGGATATTGTGTTTGTATTAGTAAACTAAATTGAGCCCTAAACTGATATATGTTACTGATGTTGGGCTTCAGCCCTGAACCAAAAAGCCCCAGCCAGTTTAATAGAAAAAAGAAGAATGGGCTGATCCTTACTTTTCCGATGTGCATACCCATACAGGATATTGGAGAAGGCGGCCATCCTCCCGGCCGCAATCAGCAGCAACGCCGGGGAGGAAGAAGAAGAAGAAGGACAAGAAATCACCACCGCCAGGCCTTCAGCCGTCGACTACCACCGGCAGTACCCATGGAGGCTCTGCTCCATCGAACAAGTGGAGGATGCCAAATCGGTGGTCAAGGTCATGCTGATGTGGGCTCCGGCCATCATCTACCAGATGGGGGCGTCGGAGCTCCAAGGTCATGGATATTCTCAAGCAGCTGCGATGGACAGGAAGATGGGTCCACACTTGAAATTCCCGGCGGCTTCGATTGGGATCTTCTCGGCGGTGGCCCTCACCACGTGGGTCACCGTCTACGACAACGTCATCATCCCACTCGCCAGAAAGAGGAGAAATAGCAGCAGCAGCGGTGATCACAACAGGCTGCTTGAGCTGTCCATCCTGCAAAGAATGGGGATCGGCATGTGCATCTCGACCCTTGCTGTGGTTGTGGCGGGGATTGTAGAAGGCCAACGGCGGCGACACGTAGAACCCACGTCTGTATTTTGGCTAGTGCCGCAGTTGGTGCTTCTGGGAGTCGCCGAGGGGTTTAACGGCGTGGCCCAGATAGAGTTCTATCATGCCGAGCTCCCGGCAACCATGGCGAGCCTGACCGGGGGGTTTTTCGCACTCGGTTATTCCTTCGCCTCCTTTGCCGCCGCGTTGCTCGAGAGCATTGTTCGTGCAGCCACTAGATCGCCGGATAACAAGAAGATACATTGGCTTTCGGATAATGGAGGAAAACTTGATTACCACTATTTCGTGGTGGCGGGTCTGGCGGCTCTGAATTTAGCATGGTTTCTCTTTATGGCCAAGAGATATAAACTTCGCCCCGGCGCCAATTGATGAAGATCGACGATGATATGCTAGTATTTGATTATTACTTAGTATCATATTTGTGTTTGAGTTTTTTTTTTTTTTTGGTTATTATTTATATTTGTGTTTGAGCTTTAGTTATTAAGTTTGAATGTAATGCAAATTGAGGTTAATTAAGTAATATATATTTTACTTGGATAAATTAAATGTGTTGTGTTAAAAGTTCTTTTCAATCATAGTCAAAACTAGCTTTTATATATCTATCTATTTAGTATTTAGTACGTGGAGGATTATTTTTTTAGAACTTTTGGTGTTATATTCTATCCATATAATTTCATTTATCGATTAAGTAAAAGGTTGAGTTCATAACTATGGGGTTCCAGATTCTTCGATTATAGCTACTTTTATTTTCCCCAAGACTCCTCTCTACCACTGGTTGTAACAACCTATGGTTAATTATAAATGGTTGTTGTTTAATTAATTCAACTACGTTAGAGGTAAACACAAAATACAAGTCGTTTTCATGGCGACCTTATAACTCGTTATTAAGACAGAGGAAGAAGCCCTGAGTCAAGACTAACAAAAAAGCAGAAGCATGAATCATTTGACTCGACTGCATACCTTATATAATCATGCAAACACATCTACAAAATGGGCAAGGTTGTAGATTGCAAATGAGAGCTTTCAGAAAATGGGTATCATCCATCCATGCTACATACGTGATATAATCATATGTTTGCGGTGCTTTCAATTGATTATGGTAGTTAACTATTTTCTGGTTTAATTTTCCCGGATGGCTTGATCGGTGACGTAGGAGATCTATGGTTGTTTGGCATCGGCGGCAGGGAGAAGATGAGGAGCTCATGTTCGAGTTCATGATGATGGAAGGGTCGGAGTCAGTGTAGCGGACTCAGGAATTTTATCAGGGGTGTCCTCTTCCAAGAACTTGTTATATTTCCAGGAAGGACAAGGCACAATGCTACAAACATACTCATCATCCATTCTAAAAGTATGAATAGATTCATTATGGAAAAACAAGACAACATCCTCAAGTAGAGACTCCCACCTTGGTCTCTCATCTCTTGTAATCCAGTCTTTGCCAAATGAACAAGTTTCGTAACATTTACAATGACTTTATCTTTCCCTTGCAATGTTAGGGACAACTCATTCCTAATTGATAACATGTCAATCATCAACTTCAAAATGAAGACAACCCTGAAATTTTAAAGCGTAATCAACATCCCCATGCATCACTAGCTGCTTTTGATTCTATAGGTGGATCGTTTTTAGATTCTCTCCAACACATCAATAATAGTAGAGAATAATGATTCAAAATTGAGAGATGCCTCATAATAAGAACCCTACTGAATATCAATTGTCCTTGTGAGACTCATTTCTTGATTCAATCCCTGTCCAACTTCTTTTTCATTAGCAGCTATAGCCTCTAGCCTCTGTAAGCTTCCTAGTTTGGCTATATTGTACAATGTCAACTCGTTTGCTAGATCCCCCAACCAAATTAGTCACATTATTAACTGTTGTAAAAAAGTTGTCAAATTCTTTGTGATTCCCTACTACTGCAACAGGTGCAAACTGAAGCTATTTAGGAAAACAGTGAATGTATACATAAGAATTTTTAGCCAAAATCAAAGTCTTCAAAGTTCAAGCCATTGATTTCCCCGTTCATGTTACTAGCTCCATCATACCTTTGTACCCTTAATTATCATTGACATACTAAATCCATGTTTCAAAAGCATTGCTTCAGTTTTCCTTCTACAATGTCAAAGCTTTGATATTTGGGACATAGAAGTACAAAAAAAAATCTCCATAACATAACCCAGCCCTCATGATTGACATAGCACAAAACAATAGTCGTATGTTCTTTTATTAGTATATCACGAGTCTCATCAACCAATATGCAGAAAAATCACTTCCAATGTCTGTAGTGATGATTTTCTCATTCTTTTCACAAGCCATGACATATGAACAATATCTCTTTTGAATCTTTAGAGAATATATTTGAAATTAGGATTTTTCCTTGTTGTTCTATATGATTGTAAATTTGTATTCGTTAAAAAGTCCATGGTTGGTGTTTTAAGTATGGTGTTGGATTATGGTGTGTATAGCCCATGTATGTTGGATTATTTTGAGATCAAAATCCGTGGGTCCACGGATTATAAAATCTACCTATTTAGATGAGATTTTGTGGGAGGCTAAAACTCATGATGGTAAATGACGGGTCTATCCTAATATTTTTCAATATTTTCTATATTGAACATCGAGGACATAAATCATTAATGATAGAAATGTAAATTCAGCCTATAATTAATAAATCTCATGGGCAAAAATCCATTATGAAATCCAACAAGCAAACCATCACTTTTTAAAATCTAACACAAATCCAAAGGGACAAAATCTCACATAATTCATCTATAAAATTCAGAGTTTTACTTAAATCCTTCATTTTTTAAAATTTTACAGACAAACGACCTCTAAGTCAACAATAAGCAGTTTGGATTTATTTTAGAAGGTGGGCTATGTGTTTTCATCGTAAGTGAAATGAAGAACAAATCGTGTGTTTATTATGGATGTGCAGGAATAAATAATGATTACATGAAAGATTATAGGATTGTGGATAGCAAAAAGAGTGGAGAGTTTGTACTTTGTAGCTAAGTGGTACAAAGCAATGCAACAAAATGCAGTTGAGAAAAATAAATAGAAAATAATTTTATTATTATTATTATTATATTGTATGCTTAACATGATAAGCTCCATCAATGTCGACTAACGGACTAAGCATTATTTATAACCTTCTAGCATATCATTTACTTTCTTTACCGTTTTAAAACAACAAAAATTTAATTCTAATTACTTGTGCGTTTGCCGAGTATGAGTAATTAAGGTCCTCTACACTTTTTAGCTTATATATAAAGATAGATAAATCTAAGTCATGGCAATGTACCAAAGAAAACAGTTTAGTTTGAACAAAATTTGATTATATTCATACTGAGAACAAAGACATCATGGTCATGATAAACACCAGAATAAATGTGTCATTAGTTCTTATAATACTTTTTGTTGCTAACAATGGCTCTCATCATTTGTGCACTGCTTACACTTACAAGGCTTGTTATGAGCGTTGCACAGGGGTGGACCAATTGCCCGTTTCCACAAATCCTAGTTTGACGTTCCCTCCTGACGCTTACGCCGCGCTTTACAGATCGTGTGAAAATCATTGTGGTCATCTTCTTCGAGGGACTATACCCAAAGATGCTCCGAAGATTAAACCCATCAAATTCTTATAATATTCAACAAATAAATTCCTATCATACATGAGAATGTCAATAATCATTGTCGTGTAACATAAATAGTACAAACAAATATGTATCCTCTCGTTTTGAATTTTAATGATCTCACTAAATTAATTATATGTCAAAAAAATGTATGTTGCCTTGGCCTCATGTGAACGTTATGTGTACAAAGAGAATTTAATTATGATCATAAACATACACTAAAAATGTAGGGTTTTTAACTCTAATATTATTGTTAATTGCTGTTATTCTTCCTTTTGAATATTGGTTAATATCTAGGGATGGAAATCACTACGGTATCGGTATCCCAATACCAAATTCCAAAATTTGGAATACCAAATTACCTCCTATAGTCAATCTCAATCCCTAAATAATTTCGGTATCCCAATCTCAATCCCTAAATATTTTGGTATCCCAATCGGTACTTCGGTAGCCCAATCGGTATTATCGAATACAAAATTAATTACCTTTGCAATTAATAATTAAATATATAAATTTGATTTTATTGTTTAATTTAGTGGGAAAAGACTTAGCAAAGAGTTTTGAATTAGGATATTATTAAGGAGAATGGAGGAGAGAAGACATTTCAAGTTCTTGTCATTGGTAATCGTTAATTTGACGAATTGGAGGTAGAGAGACGACTATTAATAGTGATAAAATGATTATATATAATCAAATGACACTGTTGGTGGTTGAGGGTCGTGTAGTAGTGAATGAGAGAGTCTAGTTGAGATGATAAAATACACACTAGCTTATATTTCGGTATTGATCGATATTTCGGTATATACCGATCACAAGCCCGTAATCCCTAATATCGAATAACAATTGAAATTAATCTCAATCCCAATCTCAATCCCAAGAAAAAATACGTGTATTCGGTAATACCAAATATAGACAAATTCAATACAATATTCGGTATATCCCAAATACCGGTACCAAACTTCCAGTACTACTAATATCTATGCATGCACGGTTCACGGTTGCATATACTTGTAATGCATGCCAATTTGAATCGCTGTATGGAGCACAAATTCAAGGACATGGTTAGCTTTAATACTAATATATGATATATAATATAGGACTTTGCTACGGTGACATGCATGTCATGGTGACATGCACTTTTCGGTCGACCTCATATAGGATCAGGTCGACCTAATCTGTTGTTTCAGTGTAAAAACAGTTTCATGGTGCCTACTTTGGAGATTCATATCTTACAATTGGCTAGATGGAAATTGGAGAGTAAAGGCTTGTTTTGAAGCTGAAGTGTCCCTCTACACATTAAAGTACTTGGGAGCTCAATAGAAAGTCCAGAATACCATTTTTGAACCTGACCAAAAGGCTATGCCAAAACTGGGAAACTGCCTGAAAATGGCTAAGTTTGGCAACGTGTTTGTCAAGCCTACTTTGGAGCTCAATTTGAGAAGCATGGATGCGAGTCAAGTCTAGGGGCCTCTACCACGTTAAATTAAGTATTTTTTATACAAAGGCAAGGCATTGGATAAAAGATTAAATATATTTAAGGCTTCAAACAAAAGGCTCGAAGTTGCTATGAAGGCTGTTTTTTGGCAGCTTGCTTGTGCTCGAAGTCTGCCAGAAAAACAGCCTTCCTAGCAACTTCGACCCTTTTGTTTGAAGTCTTACAGATATCCAATCTTTCACCCAATAGCTTGAATTTGTATAAAAACATACCTAATTTAACGTGGTAGAGGCTCCTGGACTCGA